TTTGTTCAACAGCTAGTAATGATAGTCTCTTGTATAAATTATTTAAATTATCAAATACTAAGATAAACAAAATAAAATATATTCACATTATAATTTTCTCTGAAATGGTCAAGACATTAAAAAAGAACAACAATACACACCTTTTTTCGATAATTGAAAATATTCTGTTCTTTGAGTATCAGATGAACTTGTTGTTGACGAATTTGAATGTACACTTCCTGTACTGGGTGAATGTTGAAAAACATTATTGTTACCAGTTCTCACATTCTGAATAAAATAATAAAAAGAGTCTTTAGATATATGTACAAATATTGTGTAAAAAAAACAGAAAAGCGACAAAATTTGAAATTGAATTTTGATTAAGTTTGGAAATCACTATGCACTATATTTATTTAAATTTAAATTTTTCAGAATTGTTCTTACAATTGTGACAATTATTTATTTCCATCATCTACCTTCCTTTTTCTATCCTGACAAAATAACATATATTTTAATTCAATAATCTACGTTTGCTGTTGTTTTATTAATTTGTAAATATTAGGATGATTATTTACAAAATAATTTAGTTGAAATGTTATCGAATGATCAAGAAAAGTTTAATAACAAAATTCGTTCAACTGGAAAAAAGATAGTTGAATCATGTGCACTTTTCTGATTTCTATTTGAGCATTAAAAATAGAGTTGAAAACCTATGTAGTCTAATAATTTCTAATTTCCTATTGTACTTACGAGGAAACCTATCCAAGTGATAAAATAACCAAAATCTTTCTTAATGAGGCATGGTTGTAGCCCGCAAATTTCTGATTAAAATGAGACATCTCCCAGCTCTACACGACCTTTCTTTGCAATGTTATAGAATTTACAAAAAAAGCCCTTAATTAATTTCTTCTTATTTCTATAGCTTTGAGCTAACAATGAACATTTAGGGCTTTTCTTGTAAATTCTATAACTTTGGAAAGAAAGAGCATGTAGAGCTGGGAGATGTCTCATTTTAATCAGAAATTTGCGGGCTACAATTATGCCTTGTTAAGAAAGGTTTTAGTTATTTTTTAGAGTTTCTGCAAAACTGGTTTTCCAGAAAACCGGGTGTTCAAGAGTCATGAGGGAAAATCCTTTTAGGCTTTTTACTAGCTCGATACCCTCTATCTATCAACGTAGAAACGAACGAAATTGGAAGGTATCACTTGGATAAGTTTCCTTGTTAGTTTGTAACACATGTTAGAACAACTGTCTATTGATTTATTTTCTACTTACTCCTACATCTTTTGTATTGAGTTTCATTTGCTCTAGGAGATCTGATAATGAATATAACTGAACTTGTATATCGGCAAAATCTAAATAAAAACAAATTATACGTAATGTTTGGAAATTTATTCTCTTTTTCAGTAAAAAAGACCAACAGAAGAGCTACACAGTCAGACAGGTTTTCCAAACTTACCATTATAAAATAGACGATCTGATTCTGTTACGGTATCTGAATCACTAAAAATTAAACAAATATCAGTGATTAACGAAGTTATATTACATGAAGATAGTTGACTATCTACTTTACTACTCCTTGTTGCTGTTCTTGTTGTTCAATATCTTGTAAATTTGGTGCTTTTTCTAATTGATGTTGTCTATAATTTCGATGTTGAGCAATTTGTTCTAACCATTGATCGAACTGTTTCTTGTCTTTAATCTAAACAGACTGACACACATTGTTTATATCTTAAAAAAAATGGTATGTTCTAGATATGACTTCGTACTTTCACATGATAAACAAAATTTGTTTCATCAACACTAATCCGTTGTAATTCTCGAATAAATGTGATAATACACAAACCAATATCACATCGACCATTGTAACGACCACGTTTAATCTAAATAGAATTCGGTTTTAATAAGTTTATCTAATAAAAAAACCGAGTTGTGAAGAGAGAACATAGGAAGAGATGTTCATAATTTTTTAATGCTCTAGCTTCTAACCTCTTGTTCTGATTTGCCATACATGAGATAACCATTCTCTAATAGAAAATAACGTTTATGCCATCCTCTCATCGGCCAATTTCTCTTTTTCATTAAATAATTTCCAATTGTTGATACTTTTTCAACAGCAACCTCACCCGAACGTAATATTTCATTGTGGTAGTTCTAAACAAAACAAAAAAAACAAAAAAAGAAATGAGAATCTTATAATTATATGTTCAGATGAAGGAATACTAATGCCAGCCTACCTTTCGTTGTTTCTTTTTTTTCTGAATCGTTCTTGTCGATGATGTATCATCAGCATCATCATCCGAATCATCATCAGTACTTGTCACGACCTTAATAAGTATCAAAAATAAACATAAATAATAACTGTCCTGTCACAGACGAGATATTTTTATCATTTTAAAACTTAATTTCTACTATTAGCAGAGCATATTTTTATTCTATCCATTATTTAAGAAGCTTTTTAATTTATTTTATGCAGGAGATAAAGAATAAAAAGTAAATAGTGTGAACATAGTAAAAGAAGATGAAGTTTATTAATTATAAGGTGATTAAAGAGATAGATAGAACGAAGATTTACAGATAATATTCAACATGAGCAACAATAGCGCAGATTTTCTTACATTCGTCCAGAAACTATCTGGATTAATTCATTATTCACAACTCAAAATATCTGCTATTATGTTAGATATTATCAAATATCATTTAAATAAGTGAATCAGATGTTGTTTGAAAAAACACGATATTTTCAATTGTTCATCATTAATCAAAGTTTTAAAAAAACTTAAAATATATCAAGTATAATTACGATACTGAATTCACCATCTGTATGTACACACGCACGTACACACGAGATGGTGGATCACATTAAAACTAATTTGATAATAAGGTAGAATACAGTACTATATTTTTACTCTACTGTAAGATGCACCCAGGGCAGCCTTGCAGTGAAATTTATTTTTCGACACTTCATACACCATTCGATAG